AGGGTATCAGGAATGACCCCAAGCTCCGTCTGGAACCTCAGAGGGTCCATAAGTCGCCTGGGGCGGAACCACCTAGTCGGTTCCTCCTCCCTACGGTGGGGGTTTGGCCTCCGGAAACCAAAACTCAGTAGGCAGTGGTCTGACCACGACAGGGGTATGATCTCATTACCCCTCAGACCAAGATCACAAGTCCACTGCTCCGAGAGAAGAAGCTTTCTTTCTTTCTTTCTTTCTTTCCTTCCTTCTTTCTTTCTTTCTTTCTATTTTCTTTCTTGATTCCTTCCTTCCCTCTCTCCCTCATTCCTTCGCTCCCTTCCTTCCATTTTTATTTCCTCCCTCCCTTCTCTTCCTCTTCCTCCTCCCCCTTCTCTCTCTGTCTTCCTTCCTTCCTTTCCTATCTCCCTCCCTCCCTTCCATTTTTATTTCTTCCTTCCCTCCCCTTCCTCCCCCTCCTCCCCCTTCTCTCTCTCCCTCTCTCTCACCCCCTCTCTCTTTCTTCCTTTCTTCCTTCCTCCCTCCCTCTTTTCCTTCCATTTTTATTTCCTCCCTCCCTTCCCTTCCTCCTCCCCTCTTCTCTCTCTCTCTCATTTCTTTCTTCCTTCTTCCTTCCCTCCCTCCCGCCCTTCCTTCTTTCCATTTTTATTTCCTCCCTCCCCTTCCTCCTCCTCCTCTTCTCTCTCTCTCTTCCTTCCTTCCTTTCCTCTCTCCCTCCTTCCCTCCCTCCCTTCCATTTTTATTTCCTCCCTCCCTTCCCTTCCTCTTCCTCCCCTTCTCTCTCTCTCTCATTTATTTATTTATTTATTCCCTCCTTTCCTTTCTCCTTCCCTCCATCCCTTCCTTCCATTTTTATTTCCTTCCTCCCCTTCCTCCCTCCCCTTCCTCCCCCTCCCCCTTCTCTCTCTCTTCCTTCCTTCCTTCCTTTCCTCTCTCCTTCCTTCCCTTCCTCCCTTCTATTTTTTATTTCCTCCCTCCCTCCCCTTCCTTCCCCTCCTCCCACTTCCTTCTCTCTCTCCTTTCTTTCTTTCTTTCTTTCTTTCTTTTATCTTTCTTCTGCCATGTTTGCTCAGACCGCTTTCAAGCCCCACATGAAGCACATCATAGCCACATGCATCAGGCTCGGGATGGTGCTCAAAATCACTATGAGTTTATTCCATGCTACCTATATGCAAGAATCTGATCTACCCATTGGCCAAGGCCAATTGGTGCCAGATAAAATTCAAAGGGCTTCAGAGGGGGGCGGAACATGGGTATCTTAGGGAGGTAGGGACTACAAACCAATGATGCATTTGACCCCCTCAGCTTGGTGATCTTCTACAGCATGTCCTGGTCTCCTTCACTAGCCCTTGAGTGGATTTCTGCACATGAAATGAATCCACCTGTGTTGAAGAAAGGCAGATGAGCAAGAACAAGGAGGGCTTAATGAGGCAGCATAAGACTTCCAATGCTTTTCTTTGAGTGTTGCTTGAAGTTAGTTAACATTGTGGTTCGCATCTAATTATTGTTTCTTATTTTACTTTTCTCCAAGAAAACAAAGCCACGTACAGTTTCCCCCCTATTTTCTCCCCATAATAACAGCCCTCTGTAATAAGCTGGATTTAGGTAGTGAACAATTGGCAGAAAGTTGACTTCCAAAGTTGAACTGGGACTTGAAACAGTCTCCCTAATTCAAGTCCAACAGCTTATCTGCTGCACGTGCTACATCATAGTCATAATTTTAGCCTAGTAATGTATAAACAGATTTGAGTTAAAGAGATTTGAGCCTGAGGTGATTTATTAGGACTTGTTTTTGTACATTTTACAAATCAGATATTTAATACATCAAAGGGGGGAGAGATGGGGAATAGACTTCCAAACTTAGTGATTAATAAACTTCAAGTTGATGTTCTTCATCATGTAGCTTCTTAAAAATTACTTTATGCTATTAGATAATGAGTGTTACGCACTGGTGATATATTAGTCATCTGCCTAATTTCATATTTTGGTCCTGCATCACCACTGGAGTGACATATAGCACTTTTGAAACACATCTTGATTTATCGTTGCCCTATAGCATTTTAAAAATCTCACACAGAAAAAGTGCAAAGTGCAAACATTGAAATTATAAACCATTCAGTGTTCCTGAAGCAGAGTTCTGAATACCTATTAAGCAAATCACTTACAGAAAGTCTGAGAAGTTTTTGAAAATTATAAGTTACTATTGATCAGTGAAGAAATTACGCAAGTTTATGTGATGTTGTGGGGTTTTTAATTGACATTTTTGATAAACAGAATACAAATTAAACTAAAAAGAAAAAAGGACTTCCAGAGGAAGAAATGGTGGACTGATGTACTAAAATGTGTAGCTGACCTTGGGAGAGGATTAAAATTAAATGTAAGAGCTGGCAAATCAGCCAATTTCCAATTTCCAATTTAATAAAATTTGTATGCCGCCCACTCCCTAGGGACTCTGGGCAGCTTACAGGCAGATAAAAAAACATTTAAAAATTTAAAAATAAAGGTACATAATTAAAATTGCACATCATCCATTCAGTGTAGGTGGGGCTGGACATTGATCAACAGCCCCAGGCCTGCCGGAACAGCCAGGTCTTGGTGGCTTTACGGAAGGCCGGGAGAGTGGTAAGGGTCTGGATCTCTACGGGTAGATCGTTCCACAGGGCCGGCACAGCTACAGAGAAGGCTCTCCCCTGGGGAGTCGCCAGCCAGCATTGTCCGGTCGATGGCACCCGGAGGAGGCCCAACCTGTGAGATCTTATTGGTCGTTGGGAGGTATGTGGCAGGAGGCGGTCTCTCAGATATCCAGGTCCTAAGCCATGTAGGGCTTTAAAAGTCATAACTAGCACCTTGAAGTGCATTCGGAGACCAATAGGGAGCCAGTGCAGCTCGCGGAGGATAGGTGTAACATGGGTGTACCTAGGTACACCCGATATCGCTTGTGCGGCTGCATTCTGGACCAACTGTAGTCTCCGAACACTTTTCAGGGGCAGCCTCATGTAGAGCGCATTACAGTAATCGAGCCTTGAGGTGACGAGAGAAATATGTGGCAGGAGGCGGTCTCTCAGCCCTTCCTCTACAGACAAAGAAAGGAGCTGAGATTACCCACAAATGTTCCAGACAGCTGCTCCCCATGAGAAGACAACAGGAGAGAGGTCTCCAGTGGGTTTAGAACTCTGGGAGATATTTTGCTCACACCATGGTTAGTACCTTCAAAAGGATGCTAAGTTTACATACTTGCTTTTCTAATCACTTCTGGGAATTACTAGTTGTTTTTCCGATATTAGGAATCCTTGGACCAAAACCTTTTATAGCACCAAATGAATTTGTTTCAAAGAAAGGAAAGTGTTAACTACAAGTTTAAGAACTTTTTAAATAAATTGCAAAAGAATGCTTGAAACTTTGATTTTAAAACCTTACAAACAAGCAGAGAGTCCAGATAAATTAGAAATAAAATTTAGGGAATTAATTATAAATAATTCTTCCCATGGGAAAAAGGTTTTGTTTTGATTTTTTAAAAGAACATGATATGATTTAAAAATCTGGACAGTAGAGGGAACTAAATATTACAATTAAAGGAAAAGAACATCTCAATTTGATTTACAATTACAGAGCGAAGCAAAATATTCTGACATTGAACATATTGGAGGACATTTTTGAACAATGAGAGCTTAATTTTAATAGTGTCAACAGAAACATCTGCCTCTATAAATAAACTGCTTCTAAAAAATGTGGCAATGGAAACAAATTCTATCTGAGAACCTCAAGAATGAGTTGAAAGTGGATTTACAAATGACAGGTTACAAGAAAGACATGGATAAAAAGTTATATTGGGAAAAGAGGGAGGGAGGGAGAACCATGGCTTAATAATTTAAAGAAATATAGAAACAACAAACCAAGAGAATGGATATTTTTCTCATATTGAATTTACAAAAGAAGCTTCTTAAAGTTTTGAAACATCTTGTGAGAAGGAACAAAAAAAATGAGAAGAAATCAAATTTTAGGACATCATTTGAGTGGACTAAAGATTAAGCTGGTTTATTTGATCAAGGTTAAAGTTGATGTGTTGTTATCTCTAGTAAGTAAGAGTTAGTTAATGGACTTTTTGTGAAGGCAAGACAAGAAGTAAAGCTTGTTAGAGAGGGATCCAACTTAGAAGAAGGAGAACATTGAAGATAGTGAGTGTGATTAGCCAACAGAAGAGTTTGCTTCCAGAGGTTGTGGGTGCTCCATCACTGGGTTTTTTTAAAAAGAGACTGGAGAGCCATTTGAGCTGGATGATATCAGGTCTCCTGCCTTGAATGGGGGGTTGAGCTAAGGTGTTGAACTTCTGAGGTCCCTTCCATCCCGATGATTCTACTTTCTCTATTACTGAAGTAGTACGACTTTCCTTCCAAGAGCTGAACTCTGATGGTTTCTATTGTTCTGTTTCTAGGAATTTTTCTCCATGTTGCAATGCAGGTCAGCAACCTGGAATATTGCACAGAAATGCCTTTCGAAGGACTCCTCCTTTGCCAGGGGGAAGATTCAATGGCATTACAGGACCAGCTTACCAACAACTAGAAGAGTCCAAGATCTCAGATCAGGACACAGGACCTTCTCAAGGGTAAGTAGGAGAAGGCAAGAAAAACCAGTCTGCTATTGAGAATTATACTGAAGGAAGGCATGTGAAAAAGAATGAAATCCACACATACATTCGACAGAACTCTCTTCAAACGGTGCCCATGATGGACTCAATTCAAACTTAGTTGCGTTTGGACTCAATTTGTCAACATTATTGGGACTGGATCTGTGACACTCTATTTTATTTATTTCATTTACATTTTATATTTCTTAACTGCCCATCTTCCTCAGAGATTTTAGTAAAACTTTAAGAAAATCCATTAATTAGTACTTACATACTAAAAAAAAATGGTTAGGCAATTCCTAACCATCAAGATCAAGTGAGTGCCACAAAGCTTTTCACCAGGCAAGATGTTATGCAAAAAAAAAAAGGGGGGGGAGAAACTAGAAAGATACTACAATTAAGAAATCTGCAATTCAAAATGAAGTTCAGAATAGAGCATGTGAGTATATGAATAGAATTAATCAAACTCAGGATCTTGGAATCCATTTGCTCTAAGTTTCAAAACATGACTCTAGATAGAAAACATTCTAGAAAAGAGATCAATAGAGAATCACTGATTAATATTAATATTTAGGTTATTGGTTTTTATGAGGCACCGAGATTTCTCTTTATTTCTCTTTGATATTTTGACACTGTTAGTCATAGTAATTGGAACCACTTATCTCAAAAATTGACTGCGGTTGTCTAAATAAATCTATTTTCAATTAGGAAATCTCAGCATAATGCAAGTATTCAGGTTTCAGTAACCTCTACCTGAAGAACGAAGCAAGCAATTGTCCCAAATTTAACCTAAATCTCTGACTCTTTTCTGTGGACCTTCCCTGATCTCTGTAGTAACTCTAGTTCTTTGTAGGAGCTGCAGGGGAGATGCCCAACATGGTTATGCTCCATTGGCCTGCAGTTCCACCTTTTCCCTTTACAAAGAACAATGCCATTTCTCTGTCTTTCAAGCAGACCAGCTGATGTGCACGGCAGAGAGGAGTGTGAGTTCAAATTCAGACACTGGCTGGCATTTAGTTTGGTAGAGGCTGCAATGTTACAAATGAAAACTGACTACACCCAGTGAAGAAACTTAATAGAATTGTACTCCCAACAGCAAACATTTCTCCTTGCAGGAGGCCAACTAGGGTTGGAAGGATGATGGTTTTCCATGGCCTGCCCATGATAGAGAAAGACAAGATGTAAGGAACAAGGCAGATTGGAATGTCAATAGTTCCATTTAAATTTGTGGCTTGGGATCTGGAGGTGGAAGAATTAAATGTGAGCCACTCGGCTTTGAAAACATAACTTCAACTGTAGGATATAATGAGTGAATGCTCAAAACTCTTACAACTTCTTCATATGTAGGGGAAGAGGGCACAATAACAGCTGGGATGGTCTATCTGATAGGGGACCTCACACCTGAAAAACACCAGCAGGATAAGTGACGGACTCTCAGGCTTCCCAAAACTAGGAGAGACACGGTGCGGTTCTTCTAAAAAAATTCCTTTACTGTTCCTCACTTCTAGACAGAAACCTTACAAAACTAAAGCCAATTACTTGAACCATGAATCACATACTCTGGGAACCATTAGGGAGGAACTTTCTTCACTACCTTTCTCCCACACAATCTAAACTGTGCTGTCTTTTGCTCTAAAATGCATTCTGTCTCTCCTGGGAAAATCCAGTTAGCAATTCAATCACAAGGCAGCCTTGCAACCTCCTAACTGTATGTATAAGAAAGTTTGTATAAAGTTCACATAATGAATCAATGCAGAAAATATCCCCCCCCCCAGGTTCTGACTTAAAAATAACAATGATAACAACTGATTCAAAATAAAACCTTAGTTTTACATATTGTGAAGATACATTGGCTTAAAAAGAGATACAGTAGAAAAGTGTTAATTGACTTGCCCAGGGTTTCCAAAACTATAATTTCACCTGTTTTCTACTCTCCAACTGTGGCAACTTTAAGAATGGTGGACTTCAACTCCCAAAATTCTCCAGCCAGCATGACTGGCTGGGGAACCCTGGAAGTTGAAGCCTACAACCCTAACGGATGGCTTTCTAAACTGCCAAACAGTTTAAACATCACCCTCTTGTTGCAGTCATGCAGATGAGGCCAATCCTTGGTGGAACATAAAGCCCCGAGGTTGTGGATTGATGGCCCTGTTCTATGTAAGAGACAAGAAAAATATCTGGAAAGGAGAAATAATTTAAGGCAGAACAATACCAGACACATAGGCATGTTGATTGGCATGGTTCCATGTCCTCAAAAGTTTCTCAAAGTGGTTCCTGAGAAGGCAAGTTTAAGCAGGCAAGCTAGGAACCACGAAAAGAATCCTGGGTTGGTGCAGGCTAGTTGGCACAGAAAAAGTTTTAGAACTGAGTGAAGCTGCCAAGTGGAGAAAGCTTGGCAAATGGCCCCAGAGATGGTCCAGAGCCTGGCATTTTAAAAGAACCATTCAGAGTTGAGTAGCTATGCCAGATGGGGCAGGTGTGCAGCCTGAAAGCTGTAAAAGGAGCAAGATGAGACATTCATAGCCGTTCATTGGGCCGTTTTGGCCAAAACCAGCTGGATTGTCATCACATGGCAGGCACAAAGACCTGCAGACTGGCACCAGCAAAGAGGCAAGTATGGGCATACAAACCAGCAGGGGTTTGGCAGGCACATGAGCAAGAAACGACATATGCATTCATTCAGCAGATTCCTTAGTTCAAGTGCGCAGATGGCATGCAACTGGAAAGAGGGCAGCCTTGGAAAGTCAGTGTCACACAGGATTTTTGAGGCCTGATTAAAAATAGGGGAGAGTCCTTGAACCTTCAAGTATTCCTTTAGCCTGAATGAATAAAGTTGAATATTTGAAAACTGCCCCAACTCTACACCCTGAACAATCAGAGCTGCAAGCCTGGAGTATTGTAGGAAAATAATTAAACAACTAACAAAAACATCAGCAGAAGCAGAATGAGGAGTCTCATGTGTTGTCAGGATTCAGTTTGGATCCTCCAGATACAGGAGAACTATTTCCAGAAACATGAGTTTCTGAACAGGAGTTCCACTCTCTCAGGGTCTAGGAAGTTAAAAGGCGTTAACATAATGTGGGCTCTGTTGGGCATTATCTCGGATCATGGATAGATGTTCTTGATGCTTCTGAGCAAATCTGGACTGATCCTGCCACCTCAAGCCTACATCTTCAGAGAGCTAAACATAAAGAGATTGTCCCTGCTGAGTTACCCCCAAACTTCAGCAGGAAAGTCTTTCTTTCTGCACCCATGAAGGAGAGAGTTTGGGGTTTCTTCTAAGAGACCTTCTCTGACTTTAACTTCTGTATCTGATCAAAAAGAATCTCCTTAATTTTCAACTGTCACCCATCTTCTCTTTTCTGGAAAATCCTAACCAGCTCCTCCTCCCACCACTGCAATAAGATACTGAGATATTGTTTCTGTTCATATTCTTTCAACCCAGGTTTTCAGTGCCAGCCAAATACTTTGCATAAATCTCATCACAATGTCCTCCAGGAATGCAGCATCAATCCAACAGAAACTCCTCCTGCATGACAGGAGATATTCCACAAGAAAAAAAGTATCTGGCACGAATCACCAATGAGCTTGGTGGCCTCCAGAATAGCTCCAAAATGATGTCACTTATTCTATGTTCAGTGTTTTGTTGACATCAGTCTCCTCAACCAGTCTGCTCAACCAGACTGCTTGAGATGCTGCTGGATAGATGAGCATCAGCTATAAGAGCTGCGGTGGTGCAGTGGTTAGAGTGCAGTACTGCAGGCTACTTCTGCTGATTGCTGGCTGCCTGCAGTTTGGCAGTTCAAATTTTACCAGGCTCAAGTTTGACTCAACCTTCCATCCTTCTGAGGGGGGGTAAAATGAGGATGCAGATAGTTGGGGGGCAAGAGTTTGACTCTGTAAACCACTTAGAGAGGGGTGTAAAGCATTGTGAAGCAGGATATTAGTGTTATTGCTATTGCTACACTGAACTCCACAGTAGTCCAACATCAAAGTCCAGAACTGTCTGTTTCTCCTACAGCATCCTACAAAATTTTGGATGATTCTGGGATATGTACTATTTCCCCTGTATTGTTTGTAAATAGATACCACTAGTTCCTCTATCTGGTTTCCCAGATCTGGACTACAAAAATCATGACACTCACTAGTTAAAAGCCAAGATACATAAACTCCTAATGTCTTGTGCTCCTCTAATGGTTATCCAGATTTTTGCAGCCCAGATCTGATAGATGGATTTAATAATCTATACAGTAGTTAAGTCTATTTTTTTTTAAAAAGTCTTTTTTAATAATCTTTAATAAAGAAGGCAAAACCTTAACAGCAAAGATGGCATGCTTACTGGGCAATCCTTTGACTTCTGGACATAAAGAAGCTCAGATTTTCTGTCATAGGTTTTGACTGTCATAAGTCGAGGCACCCATGTGACCATCCCCGATGTTGTGAGGGTTTTTTTTTGTAGAGGTTGATAAATGAAGACTGTAATTGTTAAATGAATAAATCTATTCTTATGGGTGTTTTTTGCCTGAAGCCAGCTGAAATGGCCAGAAACTGCCCAAAACATCCTAAATCGTAGTCACGTGACCACCTCACACGGCAACCAGCCATACAGGTGATCCAGGTGATCATGTGACCATCCAGGGTGGTGTGCAGTCGTTGGATCTATGGAACTGGGTGGTTCAGCCTTTGGAGGGTCTGTTGTAACTTTGAACAGTTGCTAAGCAACCAGTCATTAAGCGAGGAATACTTGTATAGACTAGATGTATTTCTCATGTCCAACTGTTTGGTTTTAAATAATAATATATATCTAGTATCTATGTACTACTTGCTATAAGGAGATATTTCTTCAGGAATCCTGTTCGCTGGCCATTTTGAATACCCTAGAATTAATTTTTAATTTCTTTGCTTTGATGTTAAATGTGTAATAAAAAGAAAGAAGAAGGAGCATGTATGCACTGAAACTCGGCTTCTCTTAGATCAAATACACCAGAGTCTTTCCACCAGAGAAAAACCATCCTCTTAGCTGAAGCTCACAGACAATGCATTTCAAATTCTTCAAGCCTCAACAGATTCCAAATTTCTGCAATATAATTTAACATCACATTCACATCTTTGACCCTTATTTCTTTTCCCAATGCACTATTTACAACCTTATGAATATTAAATCAAAAGGTGTCAACATAGAACAGGCCCTAAACATATTTTTTCAATTATAACATCAGACTTCTCTTTTGACCTTTATTTCTTCCTGGAACTCAAGCAATTTATTTCAAAAACCATTATGGGCACCCCTGGAAAGTTATTATCTTTCCCCTTTAATAGTTTAGCAGGGCCTTGGTTCTTATTTTACTCATAACTCAGTTGCTTTTCTCATATCAGAAGCTTTAAAACATATTTTGGAATCTGTTGAGATGGTGAGTCAGATTTGATCTCATGAAAACTTGACGTTATAAGATAATCTGACCCTGAAGATTGCTGACCAACCATTCTTCTGGAATTAATGGACAAAATAGACATTAACACTTTGGACCAGCTCACTGCTAATTAAAACTTTTTAATGTTTCACAACAATGACTTGGATGATATAAGATACTTGCTGCTTAATCTAGAGTTAATTTTCACTTTCAGTGGAAATGTTTATTAAGAGGTGTGGTTAATTCACAATATGGAATATGGAATTGGACTATCCTATTTTAAAATATCAATGGGCAATGATCATTAAAGGACATTTGGAAATGTAAACAGCCAAGAAATTTCTCATTGAGCATAGAAAGGTTGCTGAAGTCAAAGTTATAGAGTGACACAAAGGTACAGGATAGGTGGTACCTGGCTCAACAGTAGTGCCCGTGAGAGGGATCTAAGTGTCTTAGTGGACAATCACTTAAGTATGAGCCAGCAGTATGCCCAAAAAAGCCAACACAGTCCTGAGCTATAATAACAGATGGATAACATCAGAACCACAAGAAGTGACAGTACCACTCTAGACTGCCCCAGTGAGGCCACACTTGGAACACTGTGTCCAGTTTTGGTCACCATGTTACAAAAAAAGATGCTAAGACCCTAGAAAGAGTACAGAGAAGAAGAACAAAGATGATAAGGGAATCTGGAGGCTAACTCATACAATGAACAGACAAGGGAGCCAAGGTCAGGAGCCAAGGTGGCGCAGTGGTTAAATGCAGCACTGCAGGCTGACTGCTAGATCAGCAGTTCAGCGGTTCAAATCTCACCGGCTCAGGGTTGACTCAGCCTTCCATCCTTCCGA